CAGCTCCTGTAAATGGTTAGTTGTAAAACATGATGCCTTGGACACCTGCTCAAAAGACAGTTGTACGAGGAAAATACGAAAAACGCAGTCAGGGGTGACAGCAACCGCGAAAAAATTAAATAACTTCCTAACCATAGTGTTTTGGCTCTTCAAATTTGACATAAATCAACTTCATTCATTGTATGGTAAATCTGTAGAGTGAAATCAAAATCACTTCAGGGACTTTACAGTTATGTTTGAAATGCTTTCAAATCGCAGTCAAACGCCCTGATTCAGGGCGACTTAAGAAGCCATTTTGACCATGACTATAAAGTCCCTGGAGTGATTTTGATGAAACTCGACAAATTCACTACACATTGAATGAGGATAATTTGTGCCAAATCTGAAGTGCCAAAACACCATGGTTAGAAAGTTATTTGGTTTTATTGCTGTGGCAGTCACCTCTGACTGCGTTTTCATATTTTCCTAGTACAACTGTCATTTGAGCAGGTGTCCAAGGCATCATGTTTTATAACTTACTGACAACAAGAGCTATACATACACAGTCTCTTCTTTCTTTTCCTGAAAAAATGAACATAATTGAATTAATATTTTCCAAGATATAGTGATTTTCCATTCACGTTTTTCATATTTTGCTAGTACAACTGTCTTTTGAGAAAGTGTCCAAGATATCATGTTTTACAACTAACTAACAACAGGGGCTATACATACACAGTCTCTTCTTTCTTTCCTGAAAATATAATTGGATTAGTATTTTCCAAGATATTGCGATTTCTTTGGGTTGCGTTTTTTTTAACACCCTATATTTGGTATACATCATTACTTGATAATACATTTTAGCGATAATATCAGTAATGTGGCTTATATTCTTGTCTGTGAATTTAAAGTACAATATAGAATTACATTTATTCAAAGTTAGTATAAAAATAATATAGTTTAAATAATAATTTCTGACTGTCTGTACCCCATTTGCTGCCCTTAATTTGAATTATTGTTATCACATGTTTAATTGTGTTAATGAAATACTGCCTAGGAAACTAAATAAATCTAGTTAGTTTTTTTGTGATATGAAGTTGTAGTTTGTAGTTTTTGTACAGTGTAGTGACTGATATGTCATTTATATGACATGGTTATTGAGTCAATAAAAGATATATACAGGGTGGTCCAAAAAAATTGGAACATTTGTTAATTGAACGCAAAACCTTTATTTTTCTTCTAAAATGCACCAAACTTTCACTGATCATAGTTCAGTCACTTATTTATCTGATGTGAAGTTTATAGGTGAAAACCACAAAGTTGATGCATTAAACCAGTCAATGTTGGATAGATAGGACCCCCTTTTCTTAAATATACACGTGTCTATTTCGCCGCTACTTTTTCAATTGTATTCTTTATTTCAAAGCTTTAATGAACATGTTGATTACTATAAACATATTATAAAATCATATTCAGTTGACAAGAGGTATTTACATCTGGGGTTTACCAGAAAAATATTGAGTTAATACCAAATTAAACAATACCAAAATTGATCATTTTCATGTAAGAGGATGAAAGAAGGAACATGTCAGAGGTGAGCAATTGCATAACCCTCACAGCTCAAGTGACAAAAGCATTGTTCCCACTTTTTAGTAAAGGCAAAACTGACCAGTTATTCACAAAGCTTTATTAAAAACCTACGCTAAGCACATATAATTATCATCTGTGTTATTGGAGACTCCTCCAAGATACTGACATACATACTGTATTAATATATCCAATGAATATTATTCATATCAGAACAATAAAGGGGAGGGCCGGCTTCATTTACCAGTCAAATCAGACTGCTCTGACCTCTTTCTGGAAAATATTCAATCAGTAATATATCCAACAATAGCCATCATAATATGCTTGATACCTATCAATTTGGGTAAAAAATGTTGAATATTTTACTAGATTTGATCTTCCAAGGCAAACAAATAGGAAGGTTGATCAAACTGGATTTTTTAGTCAAGATTGCTTGGACAAAACAAACGAACAGCAAACAAATTGAATATTTACAAATCTGAGCCCCAGCTTCAACTTGTAATTCAGGAAAAGAGGGATCATATCAAACATTGACTAGTTTAATGCATAAACTTTGTTGTATGCAACTATAAGCTTTACATCAGATAGAAAAGTGATTGAACTCTTCTCAGTAAAGTTTTGGTGCATTTTAGAGAAAAATTCAAAAAATAAAGATTTTGTGTTCAATTAACAAATGTTCCAATATTTTTTGGACCACCCTGTATATATAATATATATAACACAAAAACTGTTTGTTGGAGTCAATTCCGATTTTATAGCCAATTAAATGTCTTATGGGCATGGGACCGCTGCTGGAGAAGAAAATGTAGATGTATAAGATCACTCCAATGCGGATTTGGTTCACATTTTATGGGGAGATTCCATAATTTCAGGCATATAACTTTTGAGAGAAAATATTCCAGTATGGCCGCTTTTAATGAAAAATTGCTGCTATTTTTGTTTTAAATGAATTGTGTTCTTTGATATCACGATTATTAGTTATCGGATTGGCCATCGGAAAAAGTACTCTATGCTGGAGATTTTCACTGATATCCGATGGACACTTTTGGCGAAGTCAGATAATTTTCGCTCATCATTCTCCCAGGGTTCCACTGGTCTTTTCGGGGGATTGCAAACAGTTATTTTTTCACGATATTTTCCCGTGAGTTTGTGTTACACAGAACAATTAAGGGGGACCCTGGTAAGGCTCTTGGCAGTGAGAACTATTGTATAAATTGGAAAAATATCTTAAAATATGCCATGTATTTTTCCTTATAAAATATAATATAATTTCTATCATAGCCCTTCCATTTACCTTTTCGGGGGTCCACCACATGGAACTCCATGGGACTAAATATTGGATTCCGTGAGACTCTAGGGGACTTTATAGGATTCTTTAAACTCTATGGGACTTCGAAGGTCCTAGCCGCATGGAGCCCTATCGAGTCCCATGGGATTCCCATTGGGAAAATCCCACAAAGCCCCATCGAGAATGAACACGTAAATGTTTTCCATGGGGCAAAGTTTCCATGGGACATCGTGGAGCACGTTAGAACTAAAATGGACTCGATGGGGCAAGTTAAGTGTTTCACCTTTGCTGTACATGTATGTTGGGTTTAAGAAAACGTAAATGAATACTGGTGACGCGCTGACTAATAAAATAAATATGACTGGCCATCTGGACCAATGTATCGTCATACTTTTAACGCCGTAAAAACGATTTTATACGCCGTAAAGAATTACTTTTAACGCCGTTTAAAACGATTTTGTACGCCGTCAAAATTGATTTTTTACGGCGTCAAAAAAGATTTTATACGCCGTAAAGAATTACTTTTTACGCCGTTAAAAGCCGTCAAAACCAATTTTTACGCCGTTAAAAATTATTTTGTACGGCGTCAAAATTTATTTTTACGCCGTTAAAAATTATAGCTGGCAGCCAATGAAAACCAGCGTTTCAACCTGGTATTCATTGAATCAAACGAACCTGTATGTTGGACTTACCGACTGATTGATATAAATCCAAAACCCTATTTTTTGTTACATGTTACATGTCACATTTATCATTTATATTGGAATTTTTATTTGCCAGACGCATTTGGTTGTATGGAAGACTACAACTATCATATAACAACTATCCCGGGAATTCGAGTTTTCATTGTTTAAATATTTTTTCGCAAATTATTAACAATGTTCTGTACGTTCGCAATTTCGAAAGGCGTAAAAAATCAGTTTTGACGGCGTAAAAAGTAATTTTAAACGGCGTAAAAAATAATTTTAAACGGCTTAATATCGGTTTTGACGGCGTACAAATCGTTTTTAACGGCGTACAAAATCGTTTTTAACCGGCGTAAAAAGTAATTCTTTACGGCGTATACAATCGTTTTTACGGCGTTAAAAATTATTCTTGACGCCGTTCAAAATGAATTTTACGGCGTACAAAATCGTTTTTAACGGCGTAAAAGTAATTCTTTACGGCGTATAAAATCGTTTTACGACGTTAAAAGTAGATTTGACGGCGTTAAAAGTCTGACGATGCATTGGACCAGATGGCCAGCCATAAATAAAGGCCAATATTAACGAATGTCAATATTTGGACTTCATCAGGAATTATTAGCGTACTCCGAATGCTACTCCGATCCTTCTCTCTACTACATATAGTAACTACTGTTAATGCAGTCTACTTGGAACCGAAGATACATGTATCTCAGAATAAGTTCAAAACGATGGGTTGAGATACGGCAAATATTTCCCCATTCACCATTTGCATGTTTCCTGTGGCATGCAACCGTGAAGTAAGACACACTTTAAGGTGGCAGGGTATTTCTTGACTTTTAAAAGATCTATTTATTCCAAAATAAACTATTAGTTAAAAAGACAGACTAGCTTTACGAAATAGAATTGCGATATTTATTGAAGATTTCACAAAACCAAAGTTCGGCCATGTTGAAACGAACTATTGAAAATAGAGTAAGATTGATTTGTCATGGTTTTCAAATCGTCTTACAATGTCATAAGCGTAGCCAAGTGCAATGATGGTGCGATCGCACCCCCCCCCCCCCCATAACCAATGAACATACATTTTTGTAAATTCAAAACAAATCTTACACATTTTCTAATGATCTAATAATTATGTTATATATTCGTATTTTTCGTTTTTTGGTAGCCTTGCCCAAGTCGGTCTCTTTTACTTATCTTGATTTCTATTAATAATACAAGATCAGATAAGTAAAAAATACCGACTTGGGCAAGGCTAGTTTTTTGGGTACCCGGTTTTTTCGACCGGGTACCAAGTATGAACCCAGCATGGAGGATTTACTACCCGGTACCCGTTTTTTTCTACAAACCCTTCACCAATGGCATGCCAAAATGTAAAATCTCTATTAGGACGATGATCTTATTTACTCGAAGACTTGTGTCTTCATGCTACATGGTAAACTTAAGTGGTGACATAGAAGAGATTCATTTGCGACACGTGTGTACAATCCTAGAAATGAAAATGTTGTTATATGCTTTCTTAATGAATCAAACTCAAAACGCAGAAAAGAGAATGGAAAACGAAGAGGTCACGATACCACGGTTATTGCCAAGCAAAATGACCTACCCACCTGGTTTTGACCCTATTCGGATGACTTCCGTGAATGATGTCAAAGTGTCAAAGATTGTCAAAGAAAGTTTCAATAAAACGTTTGGAAACACTTTGAAATTTAACTCTGGGAATGAGATAAAAAGATCGGTTAGGTTTACACCTTCCAACGTTAAGACAGAGTTATTTGCCGAAGAATATGGCTATACGCCTAGATGCGTACACCACCGTGTATTTGGATCCGTAGGGTAATATTGTGGATTCCGAAGAAATGAATAAAATCATTCAATCCAAGAATGATTATGAAAAGATCCCAATAAAATCCAAAAAGAGGCAAGAGACACGAAATGAAGGACTTAAAATGAGGCAAGATCGCAGAAAGCCGGCGATGCTACTCGACAGATATTTCGGAGATACGCCTTGGATCGATTAAAAGGCACACACTTTGAGTTCTGCGCCAAGATTAATGAATAAGAAGATAAGTGAAGTGAAGGCCTGCTATTGCTATTTGGTTGGAAGTTTAGGGAGCAATGCACAACAAGTTTTTTTGAGCATCTTTAGTAACATTTGCAAGAGTGCTGATGTACCTCCTGTAGCCGTCGGAAGACCACCAACAAAGTGTTTATAAGATGGTCCTAGAGGCGAGCCGATGCGCATTCCGTGCTTGTACCGATTCTGAGTGAATGTCCACTATAAGTGTTGAAACATATCACAAATAGGATAGGTGGTATATAAAGTATGAGATGAAATGATCCCGTGATAAAGGCTGTACTCCTTTTATCAAGGGAATAATCAATATCTAATAATCATCAGGCCACGGGAAAAGGGGTCTTATCACAGATTTTTCAATATTTTGTTTTTTTGTTAATCTTAAAAAGCACAAAAAGACCTTTCAAATGAGCCATGACTTATGACTTAACGATTTTTCCTTGCATATATAGACCAAAAAGTCGGATTTTAATTTAGCACATTTTCCTCTTAATCTTGGGCACATTTTTGGCTCTGTAGCACAATTTTAATTTTTGTGATAAGACCAGTTTTCCTATGGCCAAGTTCATATAGTAAAGCCATAATGGGACAAACAGCTTCTTGTCATGATTGAATATTCATTTATTCCTCAATATGATATCACAATGTAAGGTATAAGCAGTACTGTCAACCCCCAAAGATTTTCTCGCGGGACAGATTTTTTAGACCCAGTGCCAAAAATTTGCGGGATTTTGCGGGACATCCACCTAAATTCGCGGGATTTCGCGGGACATTTAAGGGATTCGCGTGATTGCGCTAAATAGGTCAAATTTTGATCAAATTAGCGGGATTTCGCGGGACCATTCGAAAGACAAGCACGCTAATTACGGAACAGTTAACAGGGTAACCACCAAAGACTTCATAGAGGGACAGATTTTTAAAGACAAAGTGCCCTAAATTCGCGGGATTTTGCGGGACATCCACCTAAATTTGCGGGATGCCGCAGGACATTCAAGGGATTTGCGTGATTGGGGCTTAATGTAAAAGTACTCAAATCAACTTTCAGATACTGATTTATCAAATATAATGCACTTAACTTTAGTAAACGTCAACACAATTCTACACAATACGCATAGAAATATTATTAAACTATCAAAAAACACGCTTTAGGTGTGACGTAATCCAACACGAAATTCAAAAATTCTGAACAATACTTTGCACTTATGGCGTTCGTGACCTACTATGTAACATTTACCCCCCCCCCTCCCCCCATAGTGTTATATATTAAAATGTACCTATTCATATAGGGGTTCGATTAATCTACATCAAATTATAGAGAGTCAGGTTTCTTTTCGAAATATCATTGTCCATTTATTGGAACTCGCGTTTGCTAACATTTGCTCAATGAGATGAAGGCTGTGCCACGCTGTGACACGCGTAGTAAAAAGGCCAACGTTGGAACTATTCGTGACAAACATCCCAATTTTCGTAATTAAAATGAAAATGCACTCTCTTCCTCTTTATTTTGATACCAAATAACGGCAAACTAGGTACTTGATAAGCCAACTATGGTGTTATTTGGATCAAAATCACAGTTTTATGTATGCCCTTTCCAAAAGCAGTCTTCGATGATCGACGCACTAGGAGTTTTGCAGCACTTTTCATATTAGGTAAACTTTACTCCTCAAAAGCGAAAAAACTTAGCTTCTTATATCACAAGATAGTCACAATTATTTAGCCTCGGGGATTGTTACAATTTTGAAAATTCGCGGAGGTTAAAGCCGACATTTGCGGGACTTCGCGGGACATTGCGGGACACGCGAATTAGCCAAATTTTGATCAAATTCGCGGGAAAATCCCGCCATTCGCGGGACACTTGACAGCTCTGTATAAGGTAAATGAGAACTCTCACTCAAGTTTTCTCAAAAAGTAGAACTTCATTTCAACTGCATATGCAAGGTTTAACTGTATGCCCTTGAGATTCAAACACTCAATACTGTATTCGATTTCCCATCATCCTCTAAGCTTCTCGTGAACGTAACTTGATGTCATGCATCATGCATGCATTAAAATCATGCATTGCATATTTCAGTGTCCACAATCTCGCATATGTATATTCAATTTCCCATCATCCATTCAACTTCCTGTTAACGTTACATGATGAGGTCTAATAAAATCATGCATTGCATATTTCCATGTCCACAATCTGGCGATTCTAGAATATTCCTTATAATCCTCCTTGTACAGCCTTGCCACCGAAGACTCCATACACACATTACAATAAGGGTCTGTTAAAAGAGACTGCACACTGATTAGCACCTTGGATATAGTCAGAGCCAGGCTCCAATTATGGTAAATAGAGTCTAGCCCAATGTCTCCATGACGACTGACATTTGGATGAAAGATCTTAGTTAGGAATCTCACAACAGGAGGGCGCATTGGATAACTGAAAAAATAAATCAAATGCATATAGTCAAAAATGATTGTGGCCCCTCAAGCTAACAATGAATTCAAGATGCATTTTCAATCCTTGCATTTTTGGAAACTCAAAAAACAATGCTGGTGAGCAAATACTGCAATGTATTGATTATTAAATCTATTTGACTGCCTTTAAGAGATGTAGAGTACATAGGGGACACTGGACATTGTCAGACTTCAAAAATTCTTTGTTTTATATTTATTGAAACTTCATATTAACAATATCATTTTAACGATATGGGAATGAAAGTTGTAGTGTGTTACATAGTACTATATATCTTTTATCATGTTTATTTACTCTCTGATGTCACAACCCTATCTTGTTAAACTGTAATAGTAATCCAGGCCCTGGCCCCTGATATTCGTAATCACAGACATAAAACATTACCTCAAGTCAATTCCAAATACTGTAGACCGAATCATTTATATAATACTACTAAGTTCCTTACCCCATGACTGGTTAGCACAGATGTTAAAAGATTACCTGTGTGGTATTTGAAGGTATAGATAGAAAAGCCCACCCTGGTATGCACTACCCTCAGGGCCAGTAATTGAAGCCTGCCAATGGCAACAATGCCGATCCAGTGGGGTGGCTTGAATGCCTTCAGGGGGGTCAGTCTTTAATGTTTTCAGCTCACTACGCAGTCTACGATGTCTCCAAGAGTTTTCCTCAATAGGTGGAGTGCTCTGAAGCATCATGCTTTCTAGACAGTGGCGACAAGGGGCACTCTCTAGTCTGAAATAAAAATCATTCCAAGCTGTTTAGATCTAAAATATATGAGACACAAAAAATATAGAGATCTTCTTATTCTTAATTGAGGAAAACATTTTTGAAAACTGAGGATATGGGCAAGTAATCAATTATCTATTGGTATAATCAAATTACATTTTTTTGTGCTTAAGTTGAAGATAACATATTGTTCTCAAATGCAAAACGAGGAATGTGTGGTCTAACAAAACTTCAAGTCAAAAATAAAACTATCCAAAATTGTTTGCACTAACCTATGTGGTGCTTTGAAAAGAACCATTGAAGTACATGTTAATTGACCTCTCTGTATGTATGTATGTAATAATCATATTTTACTATGGAAATAAATCATATATAAAATAATTGACCTCTCTGTAAAGAAACATTGCTTTGTAGAGAACACCTGCCTACAAGGAACAGTTTCTAAAGTGTTCTTTGTTCACAAGTGTCACTGCAGCCATCAAAAGTAAAAATGATATTGAGAATCTAGAAAGTGATGAAAGATCCATAAAATCCCAAGTAAGATATACCAGATGCTAAAAGTAATAAATTTTTTGAAGTGATACTGAAAACATTTTCTTGAGTCTCAAGTCAATACATGTACTTGGCTAGAAGTGATTCCATCTGAAACACTGTGAAGTAGAGCGAAAATGAAATCCGGAGTGTCACAAATTTAAATAATATTTTAAAAATCATAATGAGAATGTTCCATCAATTATAATAGACGAACTCTGTTCTTTGTGAGAATTGTATGCTTTCATCATGGTCATCACACAGTGCCCATAAAATATGGTAAGAAAACATGATTTAGTTACTTACAATTTTGTATAGACACTTTTCCATGAAGTCACTTTATAAAAGGGGCGAAACAGTGGCCATCGGAGACTTATAAAATGCTGCCACTTTTCATCTGTTGTTTCTCCACTAAGGAGTTGACGCCATCGGGAGCATACATTTCCTGCAGTCCACAGCGAGATGTCATCAAGGTATTTAAATACACTCAGCAATACTGAAATGTACAGGGTGATATCTAATAAACAAAGGTTCATAATTATCTCAGCAGATTAGGCCATTCAAAGAAATACAGAAATAAACAAATCAAGGTTTTAGATTGTTTTAAAACCTCTTGAATTCCAGATTCAGCCCCTTGGTTTGATTTGGTTTGAATGGGCTTATAGCATAGTGTAAAAATAAAATCTCAGCAATTATTCCTCCAAGGAGAGAGACTTGAGAGTATGGCTATATAATAGCAAGAGAAAATCATCAGAAAGATTTAAAGATGTAGGAGTGATACTAAAGTACAGTGTATTATATTACTGTAGATACACCTAATTTGACACTACTTAATTTGGCGGATTTGCTCAATTTCAAATATTGGCGGCTATCTAATTTGGCGGAGTCAGGACTGAATTCAAGTTTTATCATTGTTCTGGAAATAAGGGAAATAAGCATTTCAGATTCATATGTTCTACTTACTGTAAGTCTTGGTATAGCACTGACATCCAAAATAGGAACACTTACACAAGTGAAATAATTGCAAAATACAAATTCCCTGGGGATTTTCCAAAATAGATCTGAAAATTGGCGGATTTTTAATTTGGCAGATTCTTTCAATCCGCCAATACATCAATGAAATTAAAACGGTAGCCAAATAAAGTGTATCTACAGTATGCAAGAACTTGCTTCATCAAATTCATAAATTAGTACCGTGGGTACTGGGCTCACATGGTGACAGAAAAAACGGATATAATTTTTTGCTGATTTTTTGTTACAAAATTATTTCAAGCCATCTGTCTCTCAGTCAATTAAAATGGCTGAAAAAAAAACGGATATAATTTTTTGCCAATAATTTGTAACAAAATTATTTCATACAACTACTCTTTACAGTGACATGGCTTTTTGCAATGCAAGACACCTGAAATTATTTGTAAAGCTAGGAAATGGGCCAAAATTGAATTTGGCGAGACAAAAATGGCGACCATTTTTAAATCAGGCAAGCTTTTGAACCAGGAGTCATAGGGGAGTTTTTTGTATTGATGTTGAACAAAAATAACTTGAAACTGGAATCCTATCGTCAGAGGTTTTAAGCAAATGGTCCAAAAGAGGATTTCGCGAGACAGATGGACAAATCAATGTTAACTAAAATGGCTGAAAATAAAAAAAACGGATATAATATTTTGCCGATTTTTTGTAACAAAATTATTTCATACAACTACCTTTTACAGTGACATGGCTTTTTACAATGCAGGACAGCTGAAATTATTTGTACAGCTAGGAAATGGGCAAAAAGTGAATTTCGCGAAACAAGAATGGCAACCATTTTGAAAATAGGCGAGCTTTTGAACCAAGAGTCATAGGAGAGTTTTTTGTATTGATGTTGAACAAAATTAACTTAAAATGGGAATCCTATCGACAGAGGGTTTAAGGTAAATGGTCCAAAAGTGGATTTTGCGAGACAGATGGACAAATCAATGTTAACTAAAATGGCTGAAAATAAATAAATGGATATAATTTTTCGCTGATTTTTTGTAACAAAATTATTTCATACATCTGCTCTTTACATTGACATGGATTTTTACAATGTAGGACACTTGAAATTATTTGTAAAGCTAGGAAATGGGTCAAAAGTGAATTTCGCGAGACAAAAATGGCGGCCATTTTGAAAATAGGCAAGCTTTTGAACCAGGAGTCATAGGGGAGTCTTCTGAATTGATGTTGAACAGAAATAACTTAAAACAGGAATCCTATCGACAGAGGTTTTAAAACGTGCCACAGAAAGTGGATTTCGCGAGTCAGATAGACAAATCAATGTTAACTAAAATGGCTGAAAATAAAAAAATGGATACAATTTTTCGCTGATTTTTTGTAACAAAATTATTTCATATATCTACCCTTTACATTGACATGGATTTTTACAATGTAGGACACCTGAAATTATTTGTAAAGCTAGGAAATGGGTCAAAAGTGAATTTCGCGAGACAAAAGTGACGGCCATTTTGAAAATAGCCGAGCTTTTAATCCAAGAGTCATAGGAGAGTTTTTTGTATTGATGTTGAACAAAAATAACTTAAAATGGGAATCCTATCGACAGAGGATTTAAGGTAAATGGTCCAAAAGTGAATTTTGCGAGACAGATGGACAAATCAATGTTAACTAAAATGGCTGAAAATAAATAAATGGATATAATTTTTCGCTGATTTTTCGTAACAAAATTATTTCATACATCTACTCTTTACTTTGCAATGGATTTCTACAATGTAGGACACTTGAAATTATTTGTAAAGCTAGGAAATGGGTCAAAAGTGAATTTCGCAAGACAAAAATGGCGGCCATTTTCAAAATAGGCGAGCTTTTGAACCAGGAGTCATAGGGGAGTTTTCTGAATTCATGTTGAACAGAAATAACTTAAAACAGGAATCCTATCGACAGAGGTTTTAAAACGTGCCACTGTTCAGTCAATATGGTACAACGAAAATGGGACTTCTGCGCATGTTAAAATTTTTTGTCAAACTCAACTTTTGTTCAAGTTGATACGATTGTCTTTCGAACTAGAGACTTACCTCATTCGAAAGATCATAAAAGACTTTATCTATACTGAAAATCTTAGGTCCCAGCATAGTAGAATAAGCCGTCAGTCCGCATTTGATTTTTTGAAGTGAGTTTCGTAGATCGTCAGATTTTTCCGACTGATATCGGGTTATCTCAAATTAGTTCGTTTATAAATACGAATTTCTTACCCTTGTAAGGCGCATGCGCAAAATTGATTTATAAACGTTATTGGTTGATGGTTTTCTCTTGAGCATGCGTGAAGTCTGATAAACACTAATGACGAAAATTGGAGCAAACATTACTCGAACGAAATTCCAAGATTCCGATCATTTTGCCGTGTTTGCTAAGCGTGTATACGTGAATGACAAGCTGTTTTGAGTAAATCAGGTACCTGTTTTAGACACACCATTGATTTAGCTTGACATTGATGTGCACATTGGCCCTTTTGAGCATGTTAATACAAGTTTTTACACTCTTAGCAGGAGACCGGTTTTCGAAAAATCTGTATTCTAATTCACTCGATTATCGTATGGATATTTATTTCTGCCGGCATTTTAACACCACATCACATAGAATTACGATGCAGAATGATAATTAAACACAAAACAACTACTAAATTCCACTTGTTATTTCACAGGAGGTAAAAATGCACACTACCTAGATTCTTTGTAAGGGTCGTCAAGCTTCGGATTGGCCGCCATATTTGAAATGAAAATATCACTAAATAGAGCTTTGCGCATGTCGTAACATATCGACTGTGTTATTGACAGAAAGTGGATTTCGCGAGTCAGATAGACAAATCAATGTTAACTAAAATGGCTGAAAATAAAAAAATGGATACAATTTTTCACTGATTTTTTGTAACAAAATTGTTTCATATATCTAATCTTTCCATTGACATGGATTTTTACAATGTAGGACACCTGAAATTATTTGTAAAGCTAGGAAATGGGCCAAAAGTGAATTTCGCGAGACAAAAGTGACGGCCATTTTGAAAATAGGCGAGCTTTTGAACCAGGAGTCATAGGGTGGTTTTCTGTATTGATGTTGAACAGAAATAACTTAAAACAGGAATCCTATCGACAGAGGTTTTAAAACATGCCACTATTGTTGACGGACGGACAGACGGACGTCATTTATTGTTGCTGCATTGGTTTCTTCATTCATTTTCTTCTTTCTTTGTCTTGATTTGATTGCGATGTTAGTTATCTTTCTTCAGGGTCCACAGACTTGAGACTGCGCATAGGTGGGTTAAACGTTTTGATCCGGCCGGAAAACTCTCCCCTTCCCCTTACTGTTGGTCTTATGTTGATTTGTCCTCTTAGTTTACCCTCTTTGCGGAGAACATACTGTTTCATATTCATTTGTTAATGTTCTCTTCTCTCATTAATTTTCCAGTGCTTCATGATGATATTCTCCTGTATATTGTATTTAGTACATATCCATTTATTTCTTGTTATAGCTTTCTTAGTGTACGAATTTAGTATGTTGCTCCTGTAGCCTTGACATTGTAGTTTATTTCCCAGGCTGGTAACTCTGTTTGTTGCATCTTCCAGATGACTGCAGATTCTTGAAATCCTTATTATTTGTGATATAAATATTCCATAAGACTGCGGACGGACGGACGGACGGACGAACGGACGGACAGACAGACGGACAAGTGAGTGATTGCAAAAGCTCACCATGTGAGCTAATAAAAACTGCCATTACCATTTACCATCAACAATCATTGTCTAAAATCTGAGGCAAGATGTTTTTGAAGTATTTAGATACACCAAGTAATACCCCTCAGACCCCTCCCCCATATATGAATTTCTCATATCCGTGTTAAAGTCGGTGAGGAAGTAAGGAGCATTACACTAGCTCAAGATATATAGCATGATTAAATGAATAACATGGGATAGAGAGCAGTTTAGAAAAAATCAATCTTGCTCAATCATTCCATGTTATGCATATTTTCTAAAAAATGTCCTACAGGTCTGACTTTATTTCAGGAAAATCTCAATTTTTAAAGGTAATAAAGTTGGACAATTCAGTCTGCATCTTAAATCTTTATTATTTCATTCAGTCATTAGACCAGGATTACTTCAAATCCTTTTTCAGAAAACAAAAATATTTTAAAGGCAACATTGACATGCTTTTTGAAGTTTCTTTTCAACCAGGCTTCTGACATTTTACACTCTCTATCACTTCTTTTCTTTAAACAAAGTATCAATATAACATGATGTCATCGCCTACATAGGGAGATATGCTGATTACTCAATTAGTACAAAATTAGTACTAAACTAGAAGATTGCAAGCAATCTTACGGAGGCCCTGTAGGCTTTTTTGAACATTTAAAGGTCAGCCAAAGGTCAAATCTTAAATACAAGGACATATATGAACTCCAGGCATCTTGTAGATGATTTTTAAAAAAAAGTTTGGTCAATTGGAAGCAATGTGAAATTTGACCTTGAAAAA